CATGGTGTCCGGCTTTGCCAGCAGATGTTCAGTTCAGACGTGACTTATGTCACGACATGACTTATGTCACGAGATCAGTTATCAGTTACGTGACTTATGTCGCGAGATCAGACCGGTATCAGATATCAGTTTCAGTTCAGTTATATATGCCAGGATCATGATATTGTTATTATTTTCGATGTTTTACATTAGTATGAGTTTCCACGGAGCACAGTGCCATAGTGCTCACTCCCCAGTTTTATCATGTTTTTCAGGTCAGGACGTCGGGCCGGGAGCGTGACGTGACGTGACGGGACATCATGATATTTATATTTTGGACTGTATAAATATGATTATGACTTACGCTTCCGCTTACGATATTTTGATGACTTTTGATGTTTTTGATGGTTTTGACGAACTTATTACGTTTGACGAACTTTTGAGAATTTATGATTTCAGTAAACCGGACGATTTTATTAAAATTAAAACGACGGTTTTCTAAGTTAAGTCACGATTTTTAAAGGTAGCACCCCAAATCAGTTTTCGCAAAGTAAAAAGGCTTTATTTTAAATAACTTTGCGAAATTTGCGCTACTCTGATTTTACAGTAAGGAGGGGTGTTACAATTGGTATCAGAGCATGATTTCTGCGTCTCTGATAAGTTTTTCAGTCAGAAATTTTTCAGAAAAACCTGAACCGTCATGCTCACGCCCCGCCGACGACAGGTAAGTGCTGATGCAGTTTTTTTTCAGTTATAAACATATTACTTTGTCTATGCTCAGAATTGAGGATCACGACTTTAGTTAAGATGCTCAAATAAGGTTCAGACTTTAGAGTTCGGACATGACTCTAGAATTCAGGCATTCAGATATGACTCTAGACGTTAGGATTTTCTTATATGACTCTAGAGTTCTTCAGGTTTCATGTCAGTATTTATCGGCCATTTTTGGCAACTCGTCAAGATATCTGTGTGCCTTAAGTAATCAGTCAGTAATATTATCACGTATTCAGTAATGTTCAATTTTCTCAATGTTCAGATGCCGCCACGTAGGGAGCCCGATCATCAGGTTCCTACTCAGGCTACGGTAGTCGCTCAGTTCCGCGACAATCATGCCGAAAAGTTCTCAGGACAGGGAGACCCCCGCATCGTTGATGAATGGATTCAGGGGTTGGAGTTTATCTTTGAGGTTATGGAATGCCCCGATAGGTATCGTGTAGTTTGCGCTCAGCTTCAGCTCACTGGTGATGCAAGGCTCTGGTGGAACGCCTACTGGAGCATGCGTCCCGGTGAAAAGGCGGGTTGTACATGGGACATGTTTAAGGAGTTAGTCCGTGACAAGTACTACCCTTCCTACTATCGGGCAGAGATGGAGCGCCAGTTCTTAGCGCTTCAGCAGGGTACTCGTACTGTCGATGAGTACGAGCGAGAGTTCACTAGACTTGCAGGTTTTGCACCGGATCTTGTTCGCACGGAGGCCCAGAGAGCTCAGCGGTTCATTGACGGACTTTACCCAGCAGTCCGTCACAACATCGTGGGACACGGGACTCAGACCTACGCTCGTGCCGTTTCTATCGCCCTGGAGGTGGACGCTAGCATCAGGAGGGAAGCAGTCCGTGATCGTGCTCAGCCATCTGCCCCAGCTCAGCCATTTGCAGTTCCACCAGCTCTACCAGCCCCTCAGCCAGCAAAGGAGAAGAAGAGAAAGGGAAAGGGTGCACAGACTGACTGGAGGACCCGACAGAGACAGCAGCCGATTCCACCGTGCCCGACTTGTGGTCGACTTCACAGGGGAGAGTGTCGTGCTGGACAGGACATCTGTTACTATTGCCAGGAGCCGGGACATTTTGCGAGTCGTTGCCCGAAGAAACTCCAGCAGTAGCCTCACCAGCCGCCACAGCAACAGCAGCCACGACAGCAGGCACAGAGGCTGCCTCAGCAGCAGCAGCAGCAGAGGGGCAGGCAGCAGGCCAGGGTTTACGCGGTTGATCAGGCCGAGGCAGCTCAGCAGCCAGGTACTATGTCAGGGATGGTTGTCCTCAATGATATTCCTGTGTTCGCTTTATTCGATACTGGAGCGACACATACTTTCATTTCACGACGATGTCTCGATACCATCGGAGTTCACGATGTTACCGCTGTCGATCCTCTCGAGGTGAGTTTAGCCTCGGGACGAAAGATAGTGACCTCAGCTAAAGCCTCAAATCTTAGCCTTTCCATCGGTGGTCGAGTATTGACTGCCGACGCGTTTGTTCTCGAGATAAGGGACTTCGACCTTATTCTCGGAATGGATTGGCTATCCTTCTATCACACAGACATCAGGTGTCATGACCGGGAGATCACTCTCTATCTTCCGGGAGACGAGTCGATTACTTTCTTCGGCTCCAGGAATCGTTCATTACCTCAGGTTGTTTCGATGGCGAAAGCCACTAAGCTATTGCAACGAGGCAACTGCCAGGGTTACCTGGTGAGCCTTGTTGAGGATTCTCAGAAAGCGCGGACACCTCATGATGTTCCAATCGTTCGCGATTTCGTGGACGTGTTCCCAGACGAGCTTCCCGGAGGACCGCCCAACCGTCAGGTGGAGTTTTCTATCGATCTTATTCCAGGGGCTGGTCCAGTATCCAAAGCCCCATATCGCATGGCGCCTAAGGAGTTGCAGGAGCTTAAGACCCAGATTCAGGAGCTGTTACGACTCGGTTTCATCCGACCGAGCGTGTCACCTTGGGGAGCACCCGTTCTCTTTGTCAAGAAGAAGGACGGATCTATGCGCATGTGTATCGACTACCGGGATCTTAACCGGTTGACGATCAAGAATAAGTACCCGCTTCCCAGGATCGACGACTTATTTGATCAGTTGAGGGGAGCCTGTGTATTCTCAAAGATTGATTTGCGATCAGGCTACCACCAGCTGAAGATTAAGGAGTCAGATATCGCTAAGACCGCTTTCAGGACTCGTTACGGCCATTACGAGTTCGTTGTCATGCCTTTCGGTCTCAGCAATGCGCCAATTGTTTTCATGGATCTCATGAACCGTATTTTCCATCCCTACCTCGATCAGTTCGTTATTTTCTTTATTGACGATATCCTTATCTACTCGAAGAGCCAGAAGGAGCACGAGGAGCATGTGAGGGTGGTTCTCGAAACCCTCAGACGAGAGAAGTTGTACGCCAAATTCTCCAAATGCGAGTTCTGGCTTCAGCGAGTATCCTTTCTGGGTCATGTGATTACTCAGGCAGGCATCGAGGTGGATCCTTCTAAGGTATCAGCCATTCAGAACTGGTCGACACCGAGGAGTCCGTCCGAGGTTCGCAGTTTTCTCGGTTTAGCTGGTTACTATCGCAGGTTTATCGAGGGCTTCTCCAAGATTGCCCTCCCTCTTTCCCAGCTGACGAGGAAGTCTGTGAAGTTCGAATGGACTGACCGATGTGAGGTTAGCTTTCAGGAGCTCAAGAGGAGACTAACTTCAGCACCGGTGTTGACTATTCTCGATCCTTCTCGGAGTTTCACTATCTTTAGCGATGCTTCGAGGCAGGGCTTGGGATGTGTCCTTATGCAGAACGGACAGGTCGTCGCGTATGCTTCACGTCAGCTTAAGCCTCATGAGCAGAACTATCCTACGCACGACTTGGAGTTAGCAGCAGTCGTTCATGCACTGAAGATATGGCGACATTATCTTTACGGCGGACGCTGCGAGATTTTCACAGACCATAAGAGCCTGCAGTACATCTTCACGCAGAAGGAGCTTAATATGAGGCAGCGCCGTTGGCTTGAGCTTGTCAAGGATTATGATTGTTCTATCCAGTACCATCCGGGAAAGGCGAACGTCGTCGCAGATGCCCTAAGCCGAAAGGTGAAGGGTGACTTTACGTACGTCATTATGAAGCAGAGACCGTTGATTCATGAGTTTGCCCGGATGCAGCTTCAGGCGATCGATGCACTTCCCATAGCTGTCTCGGGGAGTACCAGTGCCAGTGTCAGTGCTATGCAGCTTCAGCCGACACTGAGAAAAAGAATCCGGCGAGAGCAGGCTTCTGACGAGTTTGTTCGTGTCATGGAGGCCAAGGTTCGCGCCGGAGGTGTCCAGGATTTTCAGCTAGGCGCCGATGGTGCCTTGGAGTTCAGAGGCAGGATCGTGGTCCCGAAGGTCGAGGCATTGCGGAAGTAGATTCTATCAGAGGCACATACCGCACCTTACTTGGCCCATCCCGGTAGCACGAAGATGTATTACGATCTGAAAGGGTCTTTCTGGTGGTGAGGCCTAAAGAAAGACGTCGCCGAGTTCGTCAGGAGGTGTCTTACCTGTCAGCAAGTCAAAGCCGAGCATCAGAGTCCGATCGGCCTCCTGCAGCCACTTCCGATTCCGAGGTGGAAGTGGGAGGAAGTCACTATGGATTTCGTTACGGGATTACCGAGGTCGTCTGAACATCACGACGCTATCTGGGTTGTGGTCGACAGATTGACCAAGGTCGCTCATTTCTTACCCGTTTCGATGAAGATGTCTCTAGACAAGTTGGCTGAGATATATACCCGTGGGATCATTCGACTCCACGGAGTGCCCGTCACTATTGTATCAGACAGCGATCCCAGATTCGTCAGTCGATTCTGGCACAGCTTACATGTGGCGATGGGCACAAAGCTTGAGTTCAATTCAGCCTTCCATCCGGAGACGGACGGTCAGTCAGAGAGGACTATTCAGACACTTGAGGATATGCTTCGCGCTTTGGTTGTTGACAGGGGTGCTAAGTGGGAGTCACTGTTGTCGTACGCCGAGTTCGCGTATAACAACAGCTATCATTCCTCCATTCAGATGGCTCCTTACGAAGCACTTTACGGTCGCAAGTGTCGTTCCCCTCTCTATTGGGATGACGTCGGAGAGCGGCGAGTACTCAGTCCTAAGATGATCGAGGAGACAGCGGAGCAGGTCGAGTTGATCCGACAGAGACTCAGGACAGCTCAGAGTCGACAGAAATCTTCCGCCGATCATCATCGACGAGACATTCAGTTCGAGGTTGGCGAGCCAGCCTTTCTCAGAGTTCGTCCGATTCGCGGAGTTGTGCGATTCGGAAAGAGAGGGAAGTTGCACCCTCGTTTCATCGGTCCGTTCGAGGTTCTCGAGCGAGTAGGTGAGGTCAGGTATCGTCTAGCCCTACCTCCCGAGTTATAAGGCATTCATAATGTATTTCACGCATCGATGTTGCGTAAGTACGTGTGCGACCCCGATCATGTCATCCCTCACACGGATATTCAGGTTCAGTCAGATCTTACGTATGAGGAGCGACCGATAGTTGTACTAGACCGTCAGGTCCGTCGGCTCTGGAAGCGAGATATCCCCCTCGTGCGTATTCACTGGGATCGCCACGGAGCTACTTGGGAGGAAGAGTCCGACATTCGCGCTCGTTTCCCAGATTTTCAGTTTTTATGTACATATTTCTTTATCCTATGTACACAGTTCATGTATATCAGTCATGTTTTGAATTTCCGAGGACGGAAATTTTGTAAGGAGGGAGGATTGTAATATCCCGATATTTTATCGGTATAAATTATGTTTTGATTCCGATATAATAATGTTGACGTTTATTATTTTCGGAATTAATTATGTTCAGTCGAGATTACCGAAATTTATTTTCGACGTACCGTTTACGTTCGAAATAATTTTGGTAATTAAGTATTATGTTTAATTGAATAATTAAACATAAATTGAGTGATTAATTATAATTAATCACCATATTATCCCTAATTGCCGTGACCTAAAATTTCAAGTCATGAACTTTGGAAATTTTTCCAAAATTTCTCCCTAAGGCCGTGAGTTCCATAAGACTAAGTAAGTGATTTTTCCCTCAATCAAACAAGTGCACGTGTTAAAAGGAGGACTAAGTTGGGGAGATTAGTCATCAATCTTAATTTGTGAAGTTAGCAAGTGTCAAGAGCTTGGATGGCCACGCCACTCGCACGTCACTCATCCCTCTCCACGGCTTGGGGTATAAATTGAAGACTTTGCACAAAATTTTCCTCATTTTCTCTTAAGGTAATTCAGCATATCTCCTCCTCCATCTATCATATACTTTCAGCAGCAATAACTTGAGTAAGTTCCCTAATATTCCATCAAAATCATACGGCAACTAGAAGGCATCGCACGGCACGTAAGGGCAACGAGTAGCACGCCTAATTTTTCCAATTCCGTCGAACGTTTCGAGAGGTAAACCCTTTTTCAGTTTATATTCAGACTGATAAGGTCATGTTAAGTTGTAGTGTTCGATCTAATTGTGAGAATTTTTAAGAAAAACCGTGCATATAGACGAGCATGTTTAAGTAAGATCACGACCGAACAACTTTCGATTTCTTCCGGCAACTCTCGAACCATTAACGTTTAAATAGTCAGTTTAGTTCATTTCATGATCAATAAGTTCAGACTTGTCGAGGTAAAATGAAGTTTGTTGAAGAAATGGCCCCGGGCCGTCGCCAGCGCCTATCGCGCATGGCCACGGGCGACCGCGGTCCATGACTAAGTGAGTTTAGTATCGATCATGTTCGGTCCGTGTGATTATGCTTTAAACTGCTTCATATTGATGTTCATATCGTGATGTTCTGAAGTTGCCGTGGAAAAGAGAGTTATGGCCGAGAGACGGCGTATAGCCGTCGGCGGCGCACGGCGCGCCCGCCGCGGCCCTTTCATGTTCAGTGTGCATTGGTTGTATTTT